GTTGCCCTGGCCCTGGAGCTCTACAGGGTGCAGCCCTGTATGCACCCTGTATGTTACTGTAAACATGATCCAGAGTGTTCTTGCCCCGGGTGGAAATGTTCACATGTTGGTAATATTTGGGAAGTACAGTCTGTAAATTGCACTGGTTAAAGTCACCTGCAGCGATAAATACAGCATCTGGGTGTGCTCTAGTGCGCTGATGACATCATAGAGTTTGCTGAGAGCCGCAGAGAGATTAGCTCTTGGGCTAACATACATAGTGTATGTATGTTCTAGTATTTCTGTACAGAAGTAACTCGGTTTATACACGTCTCGCAAACTCTCACTCATGAGACTTTTTTCTACTAAAATATAAGGATTTCCTTGAATGGGCATTAAATCCAGGCTGTTGTACGTTCATGGCTGATGTATCTCAGGGTCAGAGGCACAGGGTGTAAGGATGGGTTGGCGAGGAAGGCTGCCCCTTTAAGCCATGTAGTGCTGCTGAGAAGAGCTGCCGTCACAGATCTAGACCTGTAGTCAGCTGGATTTAGGTCCACTGTAATGTACGTCCCATGACCAGGACACATGGACTGTCAGATGCACTGCACCCTGTGGTGCAAATAAATATAGAATCTCCTACACTGGTTGTGTATGTACCCTAGTACTACCTTACTGTCAGTGTAATATGTAATGCTGTCAAAGGTCACGTCCATCTCCCTCACAATCATTTCCACTATCTCAACTGCCAGTATTGCAGCACACAGCTCTAATCACGGAAGAGCCAGATCAGGTCCACTCCTGCTTCATATTGTTCTGGGAGAGGCAAGTCACAATCCACTGCTAGACTGGTAAGGTCTCTAAGAATCAGTCTACCTTGGATAGTAACAGGGGCCAGGAACCCTAGTGAAACGTAGGGGGAGGGGGCGATTTAGACTCCCAAGGGGCCGGACCTGGGTGGAGGGCTGATAGGTGACGGCTGCTCTTGCATTCTGTACACAACTTCCACCGTACAGTTCTTAGGAAGGTGGTCGAGAGAAGCAGCAGCAAAAGCAGATTGAATATTTTTTGAGGAGCTGTTTGCATTCCTCTAGAGTCTCCTCTCTAAACCTTATCTTCAGAGGATGGGGTTTATTGTGTAGCAGACACTGCTTACTTGTATTGCCTTTCTTCATAGAAGATACTTGTGTCTTGTGGACAGACACAGGTGCTTTTACAAACCTGTCTGGCTTGGTTCTTTTCTCTGGCACAACTAGGGTCCATGTGAGCTTTTGCCTCAATGCCTTCAAAGTTCACAAACACAGATTAGGGGGGATAAGCTGACACAGTGATCACATTTGTATTTTGAACCACAGGATATCCACTTCTCCTGTATGCTATGTGGCAATTTGTCAACTATTGAATTTACCCATCTGGAGGTATCCAGGTATGACAGACCAGGGAGGTAGCCATCCAGTTCCATGGCTACCAGCTCTGATAAGAGTTTGTTCCAGATCACAGAGCCTCTGTGGATCTTTTGGTGTAACCTTTTAGAAGTTTTCCACCTTGGTGAAAAGCACATATGCGATAGCTTCAGGTGAGCCTTATGTCTCCTCAAGCCTTTCCCAAGCCATCATCAGTCCAGCTTGTGGATGTCTGATATTGACCACTTTAATCTGTTTGGTAGAGTCTTTGTCTAAGTATTTAATGAACAGGTCTAGCTCTTCTCCTGCTGTTAGAACCAAGCCAGCTATAGCACATTTGAAAGATACCTCCCATGCCTAGTAGTTGATGGGCTGGCCATCAAATACAGAGCCCTGCTGTAACCAGGCAGCTGCAAGAGTCTCTAGTTGAGTCTGTAGCGGCATAATCACCTAGAACAGGTCTTCTGTGAATGGGTAAGTGAGCTTGAGGTAGATCAAAACTAACCTAATGTGATGATGGTCTGTTATGCTGAGCAGTTTGAAGCCCACAGTCAGGTGTCCCGTAATTCTCCAGACTGACATGTTGCTGAAAATGCATTGGACTAACATCTTCATCCATGGCTTTGACAGGTAATTCACCTGTAGTATTGCTGTTTTGCCTGAACACATACTCAACAGTGCATTGTTGTTGGCTCTCGTTTAAGGCTGGGCTAGAGGCTTTGCTATGTGGTTCAAAGCCCATATCCAGCAACCCTGATTCTAGTGAATTAGCTACAGCTATAGCAGCCTCTATTTCCTGTTCTGCCCTAAGCACATCAACAGTGGCTTGGAGATGAGCCCGCTCCACCCTATTTATTTCTATTGGCATAGATGGCTCTAGCTTGAGCTGCTTCAGCTTTTGCTCTGGCGGTTAGTGATCTATGTTAGCCTTTGAACTGACAGACGACCGTGATCTCCATGAGGCTATCAATAATATCTTTACATTCACTCCAGGATTACTTTCAACCATTTTGGGTAATGAACTTGATATAAAGGGAGTACAACTGGCATGGGAACTATCTGTGCTCACTCAGAGTCCACTTGAGGCGGTACATCTCAGTGTAGGGTTTCCAGCTCTTTACTGATTGCTGTAAGGCTGTCTTTTCACTGTTTTGGCCTCACTATCCAACAGCTAAACAGAACTCCAGGAACACATACTGTATGTGAGTTTTATGAAGTTTACTGGTAGCAAGTGTGAAACTAGAGAAATACAGACAAAATGACATGAGATAAATGTGAATATTACAACAAAATGAGATAGTAAATAGGCTGATGAGGCTACAGACAAATGTTTTAGCAAGTTAGCTCAGCCACAAAACAGCTACTCATTAAGGAAAAATTAACCATTAAAGTGAGCTTTAATGTACCTCAACTTTGTGAGTAAAGACACCAGTAGAGAGAAACACACAGCAGTTTGAGCTCCAGCTGAATTTGGGGAAGTCGCTGCAGTAACTATGTGGCCATCCTCGACAGACAGAAGCCTCGATGTGATCAGCGGCTCAGGGGAGAGGGCTGTCCTCTCTTCATGGATGTCAACCAGAGTATGCAAGTCGCATTCTCTTTAGCCCTGCCCCTCAAAGCCCTCCTCTCCACACCAAAACAGCGACAAAGTAGTGAAACTCAAAGAAAAAAGTTGGGTATTGGAAAAAAAACAGACCGACAAAAAAAAATCTGAAGACTTGATTTAACAAAAGAATCAGAAAGTTGCCATTTTTCCAGTATGAATACTTTTTTTTAATGCTACTGTTTTTTCAGTACAAATGTTCCAGTGCCAGTGTTTGCTCTTTGTTATATTTTCTTTTCCAGTTACCATTTTGTTTTCAATGCCAAACTTAATTTTCCAATGCCAAAGACTAAAATCACAGATCTGGTGCTACAGTTTTCCTCCATCTGCTATCGCTTTTATTGTCTACCTGTTACACTGCCATTTTCTGGTGCCATCACCATTTTGCATTGCTGACACCTGTGGGAAAGAAACCCGTCTCCTTTGCTACCACAGATTACTTAACATTACTTCTCCTACTCACCAACTGTGTGTGTCTTCTCTGGTCTGCTCCCCTTCCCATCCCCATCGCCCATACCAGCTCTCCACTGCACCATTATCTGGCAGGTCTCCACCATTCATCTGTGCTACAATTAGATGCCACCAATGTGAATATCACTCAGTCTGAGAGCCTAAGCAGAACACGAACTCACCTTACCCTTATGTCTCCTAAGATGGCAATTAAGACCACTGTCACTGCTCTAACCTGGTGCAGGTGCTACATTGAGAACCTCTCGACTTTCATCAGCAACTCCACTAATCTCAGGCCCCAGAGTGGCCTTGCCCATTCATAAATCCCCCAGTTAAGGCAAATAAAATACTTACCTGTTATTTGAGCCTTGCATTTGGATCCTCACGTACCTGGTGGCATGACAATTCTTAACAAATATCTGGGTCTGGTGTTTCATAATGAGGGAATACGTATGTCAACCACACTTGTATGTTTCATTGGTGTTTTTAAACAACATTGGAGGTCTGTGGTGCAGACAAAGAAGCTAATCCAGGATCGACAGACATTAACAGTGAGTAGAGGCAATTCATTGCTGGTTTTAGTGTTTGTATGGGGATTGTTAAAAATACTTTTAATATAGAAACTGGCCAGTGATGTTCTTGAACTTGAACCCAGCGTTACCCTTACCCTAACCTGTTATCTCCACCTACTCCTGAGGCTTTGTACCTAATGCTTACCCTTCCTGCAGCAGCCTTGTGGGCAGAATTAGCAATGTCTTTCATCAGGTTAAAACAAGGGGGAAAGGTCCAATGCTCACATTCAATCCAGCAATAAAAGTAGAGACCCACAGGTCCATCACGCCACCAGTTGCTTGTTTCACAAGCACTAAGAACACAGCTTTCAGACTCGTCATGTGGAACTGCTTACTGGCCACCCTTGCCTGGCTAGAACCCTCACTTCAGCCTTCATGTACACTCAATTAGCCTTCAGGCAATGGTGTCTGACACAGAGGAAACACAGGGAAATTAATTCTGACTAAATCCACATCTATATACAATAACATATACACAGTACCTGCACAGAGGAAAAATGAAAATGAATGCTTATGGCTGTCACATGTGCTATTACATAGCCTGTAGAGTGGAGACTGTAATCACTGCAATCAGGCATTGAAACTCAAGTCACTTCCCTCCTTTGACCAGCATGGCATCAGGTTGTAACAAACTAGCAAAATAAAATAAAATCCACACCTCTTGTTCCAACAGCTTGAGCAACTTTTTTAAATGAACTATTTAGCCTATTTATGATGCATCAAAAACCTTAAAAAACGACGTTGTTTATCATTTAATTTGCAATAAAAAAAAGTCCTTCATATGTTTGTAATGAAAATAGGTTATTTGTACATTTCGTTATTCTCTGTTTTTATGGGCAGGGACAGCCAACAGCCTCAGTACCTTAACGCTACCTCGATGATCTGCCGTGTTACAAATGATGGTCACTAAGAGCTGAATGCAATAATATGCTATTAAGTTGTTCCAACACTAACTGCAGTGTTTAGTTGATAAATGTAGCATCCTACTCCGCAGGCCAGCGCTGACTGGTGACCACGCTCAGCATCCCCGTGCAAGCCTTGATAAGTTTTCCCACAATGCAGTGCGCTTCTGTCATGGCTGCTCACTGATGCCACTTGCACCACATGGGTGGAAATAAACATTATATCTGTGACTGAATATCTTTGAGTGAGGAACACATACGTGGCCCATTAATAAAGCGATTAATCGTCGGCTTCGATCTGGGACCGTCCCGACTGAAGGCAGCGGCTCCTTCACCTGAGCGGGAACCAGAGGACTTCAGTGATGCCGCTGGACGTAGAGCTCTCCGTCCTACGAGGCTTTTTAACTCACAGCGAGGCGACGGAATGGAAGCAGAATGTTTTCATCACGGCAGGTAGGACACCAGACTGGCTTTTTATTATTTCACAACGTAGCTATTAATGCCACGGTCATGGCCAGGTTGTGCTGTTTCGCTGTCGCTTTACAAATGGCTGTCCAGGCAGGCGGGTGTCGCTTGCGAGACAAAGTGACATTTGTAAACTCGCGTAGCGGTGTAACGTTAGAGGCTTTTCCCCGCTGTCGGTTATCACACCAGTTTAGCTCCTACTGGTAATGACAGGATTTTTAATGCCATGGTAAAGAAAAGCTGTGGCCGCAGTTCTACCACAGCTACAACGAACTCGTCTGAATATTAATATCCGCTGTAGAGCTGTTAACAGGGGTAGGAGCCGTTTTCTCTGGTGTCTGAACGTCCTGCCAGGTCCCATTTAAATTTTGGCAGCATTAAGTGACCTTAGTTAAAATTAACAATACACATTTCAAGAAATAATATGTTATATACAGTATGAAATGGCGTGAGTGGCTTTTGTTATCCGGCATACATACAATTAATAAATTTAGATGAATTAAAATACAAGGTCAACTTTTGTAACATTAGCTAGTGTTAGCTTTAGTTTACCCGATGTTCTCAATCGTCGCTAAAACGACGAGTAGGAGTCCGGGATGAATTGATTGAGGGTTTGCTTACAGATGTTTAGGCAGAGAGCTAGCTAAATGGAAAATCCGTTCTGTTCTGTCTTGTTTACAGTCTTATGTGCTGACAAGCAGCAAGGCGGATAATGTTTTTCCCTGACAGACTTTATAATTAAGGTCTGGCGTGACGTCTTCATGTCTTCTCCCTCATCGTGTTGATCCACGCTCAACATCTGTCAGCAGCTGCTTCTGGTGGGCAACACTGGAACAGAACACTGGGCGGTAGTCAGACAATGTGCTGTCACACTA